TCTACCTCTATGTACCTTTATTCTGATGATGTGAACATGGGCCATTTTAAATTTATTTGAGAAACCAATGAGTCTTTCGATTCAATGCTGGTGACAAGTGCATTCCCTGACCAGACTTTATGCCATGGTAAATAAAGGTGCACTCAATTTTGAAGGGACTGTATACTATACATAATTTCAAATATCCCCTTTTAAGATGAACAATAGAGGAGGTCATTGTTAACAAAATTAAGGAGGGTATGCTAAATTGTTTGCGAAATGACTTACAAAAATAAATTGATTTCTGAAAAAATCTTATAATTTGAAAATTGCCTTTAAAATTTCCATTTTTTATGTGTGACGACGACATTAGTTTCAGAATATAACATATTGCAGCAAAACTTGCACTGTATTGTTTTGGTTTTTGGTTTGGTTTGGTTTGGTTCACCAGTTACAAAGGAAGGAAAAAACTAGAGCTAAGGCTCAAAATAGGTTTGGGGGTACGCATAAACCCTTCCCAGCTTAAGTTCTACCAGCTTATCATAATGTTTGCCAATTAAACACAGGATAATATTCATAAGAAGTTTTTAAAGAATATTTCAAATGTAGTATTCATTTTCTGAAAATTTCAATTTCTATTATTTTTAAAATCTGTTTATTATGCCCAAATACACTAATTACATGTCAAATTAATGTCAAACTAATTACATTGTCAAATTACCTCCTCTCAGGGCTTTAAAGATTTAGAAAATCAATAAAAAAATTTTTTTAAACTTAATTTAATCATGCTTAAATCTAGGTGCTAAAATATCCAAAAAAGGCAAATACTTGATTTTTAAACTGCCTATATCTTCTGAAATAGTAGACCTATTAAAAAATCAAGAAAGCCTTAATGTGAATTTTAAATTTTGGATAGGGTCTTGGTTTAACAAATTTTATTTAAATTTCAAACTAAATAGATATTTAAAAAAAAGCTTTTTAGTGAAATTTTTATTACATTTTAACTACAGGGGGTCCCAATAAACATGGGAATTCAGTAAGGAATTTGATATTGTCATTTTAGAAAATTCTTTGATTTATATTATATTGATACCTACTGAGAAAGCTGTAATCCGTAATATTTTCATCTGCTATATTCACAGTTTATTCGTTTATGTTTTGACTGCATACGGTTGTACTTAGTAAAACAAGAACCTTAGAGTATACAAACAAGAGTAAACTTGTCCGTCTTCACTGTTCATCTTGCAGAGACATTATAAACACATCTTTACAGCCATTTACCGTTCTCATTAAATAAACTCTAGCAGGCATTATAATATTGTGGCTTTTAAATTTAGGTATTGCAATGCTAATTCAACTACAACAGATAACATAGTTGTTGACTTTTTGGTGTAGCCATGCTTTGCAGACGGTACTTCATTTATATCAGAAATATTTGTCGAATGTACAGCTACCGCATATACAATAACCTTTTCTGAATATTTCTTATACAAATGGAGTACCCGTCTGCAAAGCATGTAAAATCAATGGTAGGGGGGGCCACATCAGTTCTATCTCCCTTCTATTTCTTACTCCTTGGCTACATCAAAAAAGTCTACAACTATGTTATCTGTTGTGGTTTCTGAATCAGGCATACCCCTCTTAAAATCAAGGATGACTTGAAATTATGTGAACAGCCCCATCCAGAACTTGGCAACCTTCTTTAAGGCTTGGTTTCCAATTCATTTACAACACAAATTATTCAGATTTTAAACAGAATAAGATTTTTTTTCCTATTACAAATCATCCATTTGTCCTTTATGATTGATTTGTTTATGCTGAATTGTAAAAACAAACAATTAAGGATGATTTAACAATATGACTCTTTTAAAAAATCTTTTTGCTTCTAATATTAAAGACATCTTTATTTATCACAGATCTAAGGCGCTGATTAAGATGTAAGTATATTTAAATCATTTTTAAATCTGTAAATTATAAAAATGTTTTATTTACAATTTTGCTTTCAATAACTATCTCGATGCTTATAAAACTACTTTTACAGAGGTTGGCATTTTTGTACAGGGTGTCCCTAAAAACATGGGAATTCAGTGATGAATTCGATATCGTCTCTGTTATGAATTAGCATTGTAATACCTAAATTCAAAAGCCAAAATATTATTAAGTCTGCTAGAGTTTGTTTTATGAAAAGGGTAAAAGACTGAAAAGATGTGTCTACAATGTCCCCGCAAGATAAACAGTGAAGACGGACAAGTTTACTTTGTATGTATACTGTAATTTTCTTGTTTTACTAAGGTAAAACATAAACAAACAAAATGAAAACATAGCAGACGAAACTCAGTAGATATCACTATACTAATAAGAATAATTTAAAAGACAATATCAAATTTGTCACTGAATTCCCATGTTTATTGGGACACCCTGTATGATTGACAAGGATTTGTGATTTTTGAAGAGATTAATATTATTACGGCCAACATTATTTAACCATCTATGTACGAAGCAGTCGATATCGACCGCTCACTTTAATTTGGTTTTTTTTAAAAGTTTTGTGTATCTTGAGAACCCAGAAACCAAGTTCATGCATATTTTTGCTTGTTTTTGTTTTTATTCAGTGAAGATCTTGATAGGCACTGAGAGGATACGCTAAAATTAGACAAAAATGTGAGACCCCCTCCACTTTTTTACAAAGTTTACATTTCGTGATTTTTGTTTAAAAAATACGTCTGAAGTAATTACTTTTTATATAATTCACATTTTAATGGTTTAAATTATTGCTTTAGTATAATTTAGGCAGCTTTTTTAAGCGGTCGTTATCGACCACTTTGCACATGTGGGGGACATAACAGTAGGGCAAAATAGAGGGCTTCCCCAAGTACCAGAATACTATAAACTGCATTGTTCTTTATATTTTCATTGATAATGCGGGATAAGAAGGTAGGGATGGGAAGGGAGGGATGAGATAGGAAGGGAGGGGTGAGATTGGAAATGTACAGGAGAAAATGAATAATTTCTGAACGATAAATATAATACTTAAGTTTTATGAAAACTAGTTCTAGAAGATAACAGGGGCGTATACAGGATTTTGTATAGAGGGGACTTAAAACTTTTTTTCAGGGGGGATGGGGCTCAGAACCCTTTGGGATCTGAAACCCCCCAAGATTTCACTTAACCAGGGCTGACTGCTGATTAATGTTATGAAGGTTGAGGGGGGATGAGTAATGTTATAAAAGGGGGACGGAGGGAGGGGGGTAATTGCCCCTCTTTTAGACCTCTGTGTGTCATGATTTTGGCCATTTTAAAATCCCGTGTTGACGAAGTGATCGATACCGACCTCTGTGTCTATCTCTAAAACTATGTATTGTATGAAAAAAATTAAAATATTTCTGTTCCTCAGGGAACATTTCTTTAAAACAAATTGAAAATTTACAAAAAAAATTTTGAAAATTATTAAGTGGACGGTTAAATAAACAAATTGCAAACAAAGATTTAGAGCTTGCATATGTCTCTAAAATGTAAGTGTCAAACCCACAAGCTCAAGAGAATTAAAGGTTTAAAAAATATGTATTTTTCAAAATAACAAAACAACTTCTAATTAAGAAAAGTTCCATTAACAAAATGGAGATCTTTGAAAATAACAAAGAGCAAAGCCATTAATTTTTAAGTTGTTATTGAAAAGGTTTAGCTGTTTAAAAAAAAAGTTAGCAGTTGAAAACAATAAAGAAATGGATTTTTTATAGTGGTGAATTTTTTTTTTTGCTTAAAATTGCATTAAGGTTAAAAAAAATACATTTACATGTTTTGATGTTTTTAAATGTCTTCTTCTGTATTTTGTGCAATTAATACTATATTAAAATTAATACTAAAACTAACGGCTACCTGAGAATTTTTTTTTGAAGTTGGAACTAACCATTAATGAAACCTCTTTATAAATATATATGCCCAACCCTAGTTAAGAACTGAAGAACAGTGTTTCCACTGCAATCAAATAAGTGCTCCATGAATATATTAGGCATGCCAATTGGCGAACAAATTTGTTGAATTTTTTTAAAAAGGGGTATGCCTTTTATTAAGTAATTACAAAATAGGGCTTATCATGGAAACCCTAATATATGTAAAATATTTTGTTCTTGTGAGATGAAGAAAATGAATTTCCGGAAAATAATGACTGCTAACAATAAATCTAGGATTACTGGTGTCTTGGCTAAAAAAACCAAAAGAATTTCAAGGTTGACCGTTTATAAAACAAAATTGTTAAGGGCTCTGTTGACATGATTTTAAGTAAATCTGCATTTGAAAAGTAGCGTACCCACTTCAGAACAGTAATCTTTAACCCTATTCCCGCTGGGGGGGGGTAAATTTGCCCCCCCCCTGTAGTTTTTTTTACATAACTCAAAAAGTATTGGTCTGAGGCTGTTGAAATTTTCTGACTTTTCTTACATACCCAAAGCCCTCCCTTTAGGCCTAAAACCTTAATACTAACTGCCTGAGTCCTCAGACACACTGCCTGAATGACTGCTCTTGCCTGTAGCAAACTAAATCTTTGTTTTGACCCACTTTCACTTGTCAGATTTTGATAAAATTTAGCTTTTTGGAAAGCCTATGACATAAGGAAACGGATTGCACAAGTTTTGCGAAAAAAAAATTGCAAATTTTTTTGCAAACAACCTGTCAAAGGAAATTTGCACATTTTTAGTTTTTCTTGATTAAAAATCAGGTTATTTAAAATTTTGCAAAAATTTTTGCATATTTGAAATGGCATGGTCAAGGGCTTTTCAAAAATGTATAATTTGTCATTTTTTGGACAAATTTTTTTTTGCAAACATTTTTACTATAAAACTGGATTTTGCGATAAAAAATTCAATTTTCGCAAATTTGCAAATTTTTTTGCAGATTCTAAAAGTAGAGCACAAGAGCTTTCTAATGATGTATCATTTGTCATATTTGGACATAAAACATGGGATTTAGAGGGGGGGTCAAATTGACCCCCCCCCCAGCGTATCCTGGTTTTCAAGTACCCCAGCGGAGATAGGGTTAAGCTATTGTCTGAGAATATTCATGTAAATCGATCTATAATTAATAATTTTCAATTGCGCGTGATTATCTGAATTGTGACTTATGGATTTAGGCAGTAGAAACAATGAAGGAAATTAAGACAGGTCATAACTTATGAAAACAGAAAAACAAAAAAATCTTTATTGATGTTAAATGTTTAAGTTCTACTTAAAATTTGGTCATCAGACCCTTTTTTATGTTTTTTAGGATTTTTTAAAATATTATAATTATTAGATATTAACAGTTTCAGTTTCAGGTTTTGAATGCTGCAGTGAACATGCAATTTCTTTTTACTATATTAATCAAGAGAAGTAATTATTTCAAATTTAAAAAGACAACTGCAATAATGTAAAAATAAACCCCTTTGTGAAAGGACATTGTTTTGCCCCGAACACAGATATGTACTAAAATTAAATAGCAGCAAAAGTATTGCTGCCATGCAAATTTGTTGTAGTCTCTCAATTTGAGTTGCAAATTGTACAATAAGGTGTCCACTAATTTTTTTAAAAGGCACTTGCAATGAGTGTGGTAACTTTTTCAATTACACTACATAATATGAGTAATTCCTGAAAAGTTTAGGTCGTTGGCTCTTATATTCAATAAGATAATCTCCTTTGAAGTTAAAAAATTCACGAAATTATAATATTGCATATCAATTTCTCCATTTTCCATCAGGTAATTCAAATCCGTCAAAATTTTAGATTTTTTTAAAAATTTAATTTAAAATTTAAAAGGCAGGCCCCAACAAATCGTCAAAAATGCTCATTGTTCAGAAAAGTGCATTTTTGGAAGGTTTTGTGAACTTACCTCAGTCAATTTTTGATATTTTTCAAAACATTTAATGGAAAATGATATATGACATGATAATTTCTAGAAAAATATTTTTTTGAGCTGTGTAGGGTTTTTTGAAAATATTAGCATCAATTATCTTATATAGGTTTAGAGATATAAAGCTAAAAATTTAGATTGGTGCTCACATTACACATAACAATGAAAAGAATTAACTGTGTGCATCTATTTAAAATAATTGGTCTTCTGTGGACACTTTAATGCACAATGCACTATGCCTAATTATTAAATTTTCTTGCTACAATCAGTGAAATACAATATATGAAGGATTCAAAGGCTGATTAGTAAGTATTAAGTAAGGATGGATTGTTTTCTCTTTTTTAAAAGTGATCTTTTCGGCTTAAGAAAGACAAAGAAAAAAAGAAAAACTATCGTTTGTGAAAACAAACCTTTGTCAACAACCAGTAACATCAACCCTTTGTTAACAATGGTTAATGACAACCCTTCATTAACGATTGTAAACAGCTTTCTTAAGAGAAAACATGTTTATTAGTCGAAACATCAGAGTTCCAAAAAACATACATGTTATTTCTCTGGATAAAAAAACCATTTAAGACAACATTCATAACCCTATCTTTTTTAGTTAATTTTCATAAAAATCTGATATCAAACATAATTATTACTTTTCAACCCCTGGACACTTATCATTCTTGTTTTTTATTAAACAGAATTTTATTTAGTATGTATTTCATGGAGTGGTTAACCTACAAATTAAAGAAGTAAAAAAAATTAAAATCAAAATTGTCTGAACAATAAAGTTTAAGATATTGTTGTTTTCTTCCTGAAAAAAATATCTAATTCTTAATTTTTTCTCTTGTTCTTGGGCAAGATATACATAATAATAATAATAATAATATATTAGGCATGCCAATTGGCGAACAAATTTGTTGAATTTTTTTAAAAAGGGGTATGCCTTTTATTATGTATGTATACTGTAATTTTCTTGTTTTACTAAGGTAAAACATAAACAAACAAAATGAAAACATAGCAGACGAAACTCAGTAGATATCACTATACTAATAAGAATAATTTAAAAGACAATATCAAATTTGTCACTGAATTCCCATGTTTATTGGGACACCCTGTATGATTGACAAGGATTTGTGATTTTTGAAGAGATTAATATTATTACGGCCAACATTATTTAACCATCTATGTATGAAGCAGTCGATATCGACCGCTCACTTTAATTTGGTTTTTTTTAAAAGTTTTGTGTATCTTGAGAACCCAGAAACCAAGTTCATGCATATTTTTGCTTGTTTTTGTTTTTATTCAGTGAAGATCTTGATAGGCACTGAGAGGATACGCTAAAATTAGACAAAAATGTGAGACCCCCTCCACTTTTTTACAAAGTTTACATTTCGTGATTTTTGTTTAAAAAATACGTCTGAAGTAATTACTTTTTATATAATTCACATTTTAATGGTTTAAATTATTGCTTTAGTATAATTTAGGCAGCTTTTTTAAGCGGTCGTTATCGACCACTTTGCACATGTGGGGGACATAACAGTAGGGCAAAATAGAGGGCTTCCCCAAGTACCAGAATACTATAAACTGCATTGTTCTTTATATTTTCATTGATAATGCGGGATAAGAAGGTAGGGATGGGAAGGGAGGGATGAGATAGGAAGGGAGGGGTGAGATTGGAGTGGGATGACTTTTTGTTTAAAGTTTGTGGGCTAGTTATCAAAAGTTGACTTATATCCGACTTTAAGTCAATTTTGATTTCTACTTTTTAAACCAGTTTTAAAAAAAAGAACCCAAGAATAATTTTGAAATATTTAGTTGCTATATATAAAGTTGTAATTTCTGTTTGTCTGTCTGTCTGTATGTTTGTCCAATTATAAATCAGGAACCCCTTGACCTTTACTTGGGGAACTTCAGAGAACCTCAGGAATGTTCTTAGCTTTGAGATTGAGGTTTTGAAATTCTAAGTTAAGTGGGTCGAGTTTAATGGGGGAAAATAGTTAAAATATTTAATATTATTGGTTACTAGCTTTTCCAACTAAATGAAAAAAAAACTACACAAAAGCATTGCAAAACATTTTTTTCAAACCTTTTTACTAAAATCTAGTTTTTCACACACTTCAATTTCTCAACCCTTTATATTTGAAACCAAATGTTGTAGACCTTAGATATTTCAAAATATGAATTCTGCATTCTGATCATATAATATGGGTTTGAAATATCGAAGGTTTACATTTCCATCAGGTTGAAAAGAAATGGGGGTTAGACAATTCGAGTTAGTGGAAAAGATTCAAGTTTTTTAATCTATTTAGACGGTTTGATTTGAAAGACATCAGAGAAAATGTAGAGAGACGAATATTGAATGCTCTAATGAACTTAAATAAAACAGGAAGTAACAGAAGACCTGTATGAAGATTATATCAATAAATTGTTTCTTTATGTACCTTAAATGTTTTCAGTTTTATTATTTGTATTCTCTGTAAATAAATTATTAGTTTTAAAATTCAGTGATGGTGATGGACCAAACCTCTGTAGAGTAAAAAAGTAGATGTTAGTTCCACATTTATTGAAAATATATTTCGGTCTGACCGGTTTCTCTGAAGACTGATCAACTCTTTAAGAGCTTTTAATTCTCCAGGAGGTAGGTTAGGTCTGATTTTATTTCTATTCTCTGGGTCTAGGATTTCTGATTTAACTGCATGACAAAACATTTTAAGCTCTTCTGGTGGTTTTTGATTACGAGGAAGGTTAGTTTTTTCCTTTCTGAAGATTGAAGGATGATATTCATGGTGGTCTTCCTGAGTGGAAAAAAATCCACTAAAACCTGTGAAAGATTGAGAGATAATGGGGTAATAGCAAAGCTTAAACCTCTGTTGAGAAGATTTTCCATGTCTTGAGAAAGTTCTATACCAGAATAGTTAAAAACCACATTTAGCTTTTTCCTAGATTGTTTTCTTTTCAGTCTCTTCCATTTTGACTTCTTTATCCATTTTCTCTTTTGTTTCGGGGGATTTTCCTCTGGGGTAACTATAGGTTTATCTTGTGAATTACATTTCTTGGACAGCCAGATGAGTTTTTTTGTTCTAAGTTTTACAAACATATTCTGATATGCTGCATTCTTCAAAAGTAGGCGTTCTCTAATGGTTTGCCACAATTCTTCTGGATTTAACAAAAACAATTGATCTCTTAATTTTTCTGTTTTGAAAAGAATGTGCTTTTCTGTCATCCTCTTTTGGTTAATAACAATTTTTATCAATTGTTTAGAAGTTTGTTTCTTTGTGTGAGACCACTTAGCAACAAATCTTGAGGAATGGTTTTGAGGTAAATTAGAGATTTCAAAACTGCTAGGAATTAAATCAGTACTTAAACATTCTTGTAGAAATACTCTATTTGAATTTACGGAGTGAAACTTTCTTGTGAGAGACATCAGTTGATTATAGCAGAGTCTTGATTCATCATTAGAGAAAATTTGATGGTTATTTGTGGAATGATGTGTAGAGGATACCATTCTGGTTATTCTAGGTCAGATGGAGTTAAAAAAAAAACAATTCATGGATGTTGCAGTTCTGACCAAACCTCTAGTATTTACTTTAAAAGGAATTTATAGGATCCATCAGGGTTATTAGTTATCATAATTACAACAGTTATCAGTTTTAAGAAATAACCTTTTTTGATAAAGTTAATAAAAAATAACTTAAATAATTATTAAGAATGCTTTAAATCTAAATAAACAAAACATATTTTTGTGTTTCTTTACGCAGTAACATTAACAAGTAATTTATTTCATTTCAACAATATTTTTCATTGAATCTGATTTGGTACATTTTTGAATATTTTTTTCTCGCATCTTTGAACAAAGGAAAAAAGCCTTTGCCACAAACTTCAATATTTTTACCTCTGCATCTGTTGCGCAAATCTCAAAAATATATATAAACTTCTAAGACTCGACTTATATAAACAGGATGGAGACAAAAGTACCCATCCTACCTCTGGTTCATGGTGGACGCAGTCTTTTGTAACCTAGGACTTCTTTTACTATCTCCGGTGGTGGGTTCCATTGACATCTTCTGTAAAGGATTGGTCTCTTACACAGTTCAAATACTAAAAGAATACGATACTAAAAATCATACGAAGGAAAAAGGGCTCGATTATCATAGATAAATCTCGACACAAAGAAGATCTAATCCGTAGTTTGACTCTAAAAGGTCCCCTCTTCAAACCATAAAATATAAATATCTTACCGATTCTGCTCCTCTAACCACTAACCAAAAAAGTCTAAACATTCACCGTCTACTCAGTAAATCATATACTCTGAAAGAAAAAATGCTTGGAGATCGTGATATGGACAAAAAAAGGAAACAATAGAACTTTTAACTGTAGTTAAGATTCAAACAGGTGTCAATTGACGCAGCATAGGCCAAGGTTTAAATGCACCGCAAACTCAGTGGTTTTACCCTGTTTCCTGCTACGCTTCAGCTTGAACCTAGCTAAAACTTGGGCCCTGGAATTTCTTCTCTCGGTCAGGAACTTCCGGTCCCTGGAATCCACTCAACTGCATCTTTGATACCTATTATATATATTCATCATTTATATTTGTCTAAAGCAAAATTACATTAAACAATATTAAAGTTTACAAACTAATACTCTTTTCTCTGGATATCGCATTTTATAATTGACAGGGTTTTCCAAAAAAAACAGGTGCAATTCAAGACTTTTAGCATGAGTATTGTTTAGTTATTCAGATGTGGTTTTAAGAAATGGAGTTTCTTGGTCCCAGTCTAGTGTTTTTCGTTTTCTAAAAATGTGGTATGATGACAGTACTGCAAGGCCTGATAGATTTACGCACATTGATTTGAAACTAACACTGGGTTTGCAGAACTTATGCAGTTTCTTTAGATTTGCTTTATTTAATGGCGAGACATATCCTCTTGAGCCGATTTCAAAAGGATGAACAGACACATCCCTAGTTGTTATATCTGTGATAAAATGTTCATACTTGTTCATCGTTTGGGCATTGACATTTTTGATATTTGTTTCCAACGGGACAGCACTGGAAAAAAATGGATCTAGATATTGAACAAAAAAAAATGTTCGATTTTTTTGTTTTATTTTTTCGCTTATTTTCATCTTAAAACTAGCCTGTCTTAGCCTGTCCTAGCCAGTCCTAGCCGCATGGTGCTCGGCCCAGAAATTGTCTTAACCTTAACTAAATCAAATCAAATCAATCCTAACCTAACTTAACCCTAAAATAATAAAAAATAAATAATAATAATTTTTCTGAAATCATGTACAAAATATCACATGTCGGCAACAATGCTTTTGTTTCCAGATCAGAAAACGCATTTTCACAGTAAATAAGACGTGGGGAGAGGGGGGGGGGTTTTAGAAATTCTTACTTATATGAGAACAAATTTAGTATGGTTAAGGATAAGCCCCCCACCCCCTCAGGAAAAAATTCCCCCGATCCTGAGCTTCTCAATCGTTTCCTCCTTATAGTCTCAGACATAATATGTTTTTAGATGTCTGATTTGAAGATTTGTTTTTTAATATAAACTATTTAGCAAACTTTTTGGAACGTTTAACAAATAATTTGAAAAATAGAACAAATCTGTAAACTTTAAATCTTGATTTCCCTCTAATTTCTGTGACAGCTTCTGTTTTTTTTCTAACATTCCCATAGATCACAATTTGTCGCAATTAGAAATGGACAGGTAAACTAACTAATTGTAAAATAAGAGATGGTAATAAGCAAGAATGCTAACCGTCAGCTGATTCATAAACTGGTTTGAACAGGAGTTTTTGACTAAAAATATATGCCTAAAAATATACGATCTTAAATCAATTATAAGGCAACTTTCAGTTGTCTAAAAAAAAGTTATTTCTAATTAAAAAAATAACAATTTAAAATTGTTTAAAATGCAACTAAAAATCGTTTAATAAACAACTTTTTGTCCTTAATTTTGAATTTGAGTTTATAGACGATTTAAAGATGCAAATTAGGCGACGTTTAGTCGTCTATTATTAAGTTTTTTACTTCACAAACAACGATTTAAAATCGTTTAAAATGCAACTACAAATCGATTATTAAGTGACTTTTTGTCCTTAATATCACTAATTTGAATTTTTTAGTTAAGAGTGTACAATTATGTAATTTTCTTAAGTGGACTCGTCAGACACTTCCTCTGTGGTGTAATGCAATGGGTGAAAAATAGAGATGGAAACGTTTCTTAAAAAAATTTATATTTTCATAAAAACGTGACATATTGTATAATCATAAATAATGATATCAAAGATATATTTACACTGAAGGCAGTATTGATTAAAGCTTTTTTAATTAAACTTTTAAGTTAAAGGCAAAAGTGAGATTTAAATGTATTTTTTGTATGGGTGCCACCCCCCTCAGTGGGGGGGGGGGGGGGTACTAAAAGTTCACAGCTTTAAAAATTTCTTTCCAACGGTTTTTGTTTGTTGAATTATGCTAAATGATCCCATTTCTAAATTTGTTGCAAAGTCAAAAACAAATCAGAATAATTTGTTTTCTCAATAAACTGTCTCAAAACTGACTAATCATTCAGGGTCCAGTTGGACCAATGGCGGATGTTGATGTACTTGTTGTAGTTGTTGTTGTTGATGCTATTGTTGTTGATGTTGTTGTTGTTGTTGTTGTTGTGGTTGATGTCATGAATCTATTCAGGTCCACAGCCTCCCAGCTTGAACTATTGACACGATCAGAAATCACTTCGTCCTAAACAAATGGCAAAACAAGTAAAAGTTACAGGATGTCCCAAACGCTGGAATTCAGTGGCGTTCATGATATCGTCTTTGTAAATGATTGATTGATTTAGTTTGGTAATGCCTACTAGGATTTAGTATGGTGATGCCTACTAGGATTTAGTATGGTGATGCCTACTAGAATTTAGTATGGTGATGCATACTAGGATTTAGTATGGTGATGCCTACTAGGATTTAGTATGGTGATGCCTACTAGGATTTAGTATGGTGATGCCTACTAAGATTAGTATGGTGATGCCTACTAGGATTTAGTATGGTGATGCCTACTAGGATTTAGTATTGTGATGCCTACTAGGATTTAGTATGGTGATGCCTACTATGATTTAGTATGGTGATGCCTACTAGGATTTAGTATGGTGATGCCTACTAGGAAAGCTGCAACTCCGTAGATATTTCAACTTCCTAAATTTGCGTTTAAATTTTCAAAAAAAATTAATTCAAACTTTGGGCTGCCTGTGAATATATTTTGCACAATCATATTCTTTGTAAATATTATTTAAAAATGAAAAATATCTGGGCTTACTATAATATGTTGGCCAGTGGTAGCATACATAACAGTTCCAGTGCTCCATAGTCCTCCCCATAAGCCATAAGTACCATATGATCTATTCATTATAGTGTTCAAAAGTTTATTACACAAATAGTGTTCAATAGTTTATTGCTAAAAGAGTGTTCAATTGTTTATTGCTCATAGTGTTCATTAGTTTACTGCTCAAATAGTGTTCAATAGTTTAATGCTAAAATAGTGTTTAATAGTTTGTTACTCAAAAAATGTTCAAAAGTTTATTGCTCAAAAAGTGTTTAAAAGTTTGGTGCTTAGCTCATTATTGTTCAACACTGTTAGAAAACCAGCAAACTTTTAAATTTGAAAACGACAAACTTATCCGTTTATTAGTTGTATTACCATAAATCAGTTTAAATAAAAATATCTATTAGTTCTAAATTTACATAAAAATTCTATAAACTTGAAAAAAACTGATACAACTTTGATAGAATCTCATAAATTTTAAGACTTTGGAAGAATATCATAAAACTTTGAAGGGATCCAAGAAACTTTGAAAGATTCTCCTAAAACTTTGATAGATTCTCAAAAAATTCCATGAAGCTTAGAAAGGATTTCAAATTTTTTCATAGAATCTGCTAAAACTTAGATAGAATCCAGAAATTTGTCAGGATTACATAAAATTTTGATGGGATCCATAAAAGTTTGATAGAATCTTCCAAAACTTGATTGGATCTCTTGAAATTTGATTGGTTTCACAAAACTATTATAAGATTTTGTAAAACTTTGAATGGATTATAAAAAACTTTGATCGGAACTATAAAACATTGATTGGATCAATTAAACTTTGATTGGATCAATAAAACATTGATCGGATCAATAAAACTTTGATTAGATCAATAAAACTTTGATTAGATCAATAAAACATTGATTGGATCAATAAAACTTTTTGATTTCAAGAAATTTTAATAAAATCTCCGAAACTTTAATGAAGTCTTATAAAATGTTGATAGGATCTCATAAAGCATTGATAGAATCTAGTAAAACATTGATAGGATCTCATAAAACATTGATAGAATCTCATGAAATACCTGATCATATGATCACATTGTATTAGCATAAATAAATCTCTTGAGGGCATCTTTTTATCTAAATATAAAAATGCAATAATGTGTGTGAAGAATATTAATAAAATGCATTTATGCATAATGCAATATATACAGATAAATCTTTGGCATCATAAACACTTCTGTCTTTCTATATATGTGCTCGAAACCTTAACTTTAAAGATTTAAAGATATTCTAAAATCATGAATTCTTAACATTTATCTTGGCTTGATAAGGAAGAATACATCTTTTTTCTATATACTTCAATCCAGGCCCGTAACCAGGATTTTTCCAGGGGGGGGGGGGGGCAAAAAGTCGGGACGCAGGCGAAACATTTTTTTTTTTTTTTTAAAGCAATGCTTGGTTTGTTATTACGGTGATATATGGTTTTCTTTATTACATTGTCAATGTACGCTATAAAGATTAACCTTTTTAACTAGTGTATTAAAGCTTTTAAGGGTTACATTTTAGGGTCTGAAACTTTTCAGTTAACATATACAATATACATAAAAAATAAATGAATGGTACTTTAGCTTAAGGAAAAAATTCATTATTTAAAATCAAGGCTTCTTGTGCCTCAGCCTCATCATGATATTTTGAAGATGAATAAAATGCAGCACATGAGACAGGTTTGGTTTGGTTTGGGAAGGGAATCTACTCTTGCTTGAGCTTGAGGGGGGTGCACCTGCACCCTTGCACCCCCCCCCCTGGTTACAGGCTTGCTTCAATCTTTTACACTGTAAAGCCAGATAACCTTTAAATCTCAAACATCGAGAATCCCTAGTATAAACCAACTTTAAGCTAAGCATAATGCCTCCAAGTTTTGATATTTCTCCTGGAAATCCAATACCTCGAAGATTTTAAATTTCTTTTGGAAATCCAACACCTCGAAGATTTTAAATTTCTTTTGGAAATCCAATACCTGGAATATTTGAAATCCCTCCTGGCTGGAAATCCAATACCTGGAAGATTTGAAATCTCTCCTGGAATATTTGAAATCTCTCCTGGCTGGAAATCCAATACCTGGAAGATTAGAAATCTTTCCTGGAAATCCAATTCCTGGAAGATTAGAAATTTTTCCCGGAAATCCAATACCTGAAAGATTTGATATTCCTCCTGGAAATCCAATATCTGGAAGATTTGAAATCTCTCCTGTAAACCTAATACCTGGAAGATTTAAATCTCTACTGGAAATCCAATACCTTGAAGATTTGATATTTCTTGCAGAAATCCAAAACCTTGAAGATTTGATATTTCTCGCAGAAATCCAAAACCTTGAAGATTTGAAATTTCTCTTGGAAATCCAATACCTGGAAGATTTGAAATTTCTCCTGGAAATCCAATACCTGGAAGATTTGATATATCTCCTGAAAATCCAATACCTGGAAGATTTGAAATTTCTCCTAGAAATCCAATACCTGGAAGATTTGATATTTCTCCTGGAAATCCAATATCAGGTTCTTGACCAAAGTTATCTTTGAGCCACTTAGTGTCCTCACTTGCCATATAGAATACAGTTTTTGTAGATTCATTATCAATACGATTCCTAAACAAAAATTACCAAATCTGTAAGCAATATAAGATTTAATTCTAAGTCACAGTTCATGAATACATAGCATGTACGATTCTAAAGGTAGCTTTTAAAAGTTTGGAGAATTAGATTTACTCATTGTTTTACCGGGAACTTTTTTTAATTAAAAATTATTTTGTTGATTTATGTTTCAAGATCAGTATGGGAAATTGTCACAGTTTAAGCACAGATATGGAATAAATAAACAATCATTATGAAAAACAATAATTCTTTTGATATTACAATGTTATATTACTACTAGCTCAAGTGCCCGGCATTGCTAGTGGAATAAAAATAAATAAAATTTGAAGAAAAAGATGCAATTTGTTACTCCCCGGGCACCCTTGGGTTCCCTAAAAAATTTTTACCAATTTGGTCCAGCCTTTTGGCCAGCTATAGCTAACATACATATTTTTTGATATTTTCAATCAATTCAAGCAATATATAATATATAGAGTCAACCACAAAGAATCTCTCTGAAATGTAGCCTTTAATTGTCTTATTTAATGATTTGGCTGCAAATAAAGAAAGAAGTTTAAAGTTGCAAGCAATCATGAATCTCAGGAAACAGAAAAATTTTGTACCGTCGTCTCTGAAGTCTAATCCTTTTTTGGGTAACCCCTTAAATACCTGAATAAATTAATGCAGTAAAAAAAGTATTTTCTCCACATCTCATCATCACGCATAATAGTGTTGATTTTCACATTCTTAATATAAAAGGGATTAAGTCTTGAAGTAAAATTTATTTTTTGCCTTTAAGTACTTGTAACGACAATATTGGATATAAACCAAGTAAATGAAGTTGTAACGACAATATTGGATATAAACCAAGTAAATGAAGTTGTAACGACAATATTGGATGTAAACCAAGTAAATGAAGTTGTAACGACAATATTGGATATAAACCAAGTAAATGCACTTGTAATTTACAATATTGAATGTAAACCAAGTAAATGCACTTGTAACGACAATATTGGATGTAAACCAAGTAAATGCATTAGTAATGACAATATTGATTATAAACCAAGTAAATGCACTTGTAAACGACAATATTGGATATAAACCAAGAAATGCACTTGTAACAACAATATTGGATATAAACCAATTAAATGCACTTGTAACAACAATATTGGATATAAACCAAGTAAATGCACTTGTAACGACAATATTGGATGTAAACCAAGTAAATGAAGTTGTAATGACAATATTGGATATAAACCAAGTAAATGAAGTTGTAATGACAATATTGAATTTAAACGAAGTAAATGCACTTGTAACGACAATATTGGATGTAAACCAAGTAAATGAAGTTGTAACGACAATATTGGATTTAAACCAAGTAAATGAAGTTTTAATGACAATATTGGATGTAAACCAAGTAAATGCACTTGTAAGGACAATATTGGATCTATACCAAGTAAATGAAGTTAAAACGACAATAAGGGATATAAACCAAGTAAATGAAGTTGTAACTACAATATTTGATGTTAACCAAGTAAATGCACTTGTAACGACAATAATGTATATAAACCAAATAAATGCACTTGTAACAACAATATTGGATGTAAACCAAGTAAATGCACTTGTAACAACAATATTGGATGTGTTTCGCTACTTAGCGATTTCCCTAAAGACCTAATATATGTACCGTGTGGTATTTCTCAAGACCAGATCGTAAGACTTCCTTCTCTCAATTCTCTTCATAACAAAAGGATGATAATAAGGTTCCAAACGTTTATTTCTCTGAGTCTTCAATCTAAATAAGTTTAATAAACCCACAGAAAAAGCTTTGAGTGATAAATCATACAAATACAACAAATAATCCACTCAGGCATTAAAAAACTGTGGCAAGGAACCAACAAACACATTTATAAATATCAATCATAATATAATCAACCGATAAGCATACGTATATATATAAGAAATAATTACCACAGTGATCCTAGAATTCTGGACACGGTTACACTTGCAAGACAAATAAACATATACTAATATTAAACTGTTCACTCCCACGCAAGAAATCTTGCGCCTGCGTAGTCAGTCTGTAAACAGCTTCCAAAACTAGTTTTTCACAATACGTTCTGTACAGATCCGCAGGGAGAACTCAGAAACTCACAGGGGCATCAACTAGACTTTATACACGGAGCATGGCTCGCGTAACACTCGCCCAGCCAAGAGCAAACGAAAAAGTTCTTCTGCACCCCGCGACCTGAACTCCTGAAAGCTAAATAAGACCTGAAATATAAACACTGGGATCTTTCAGAGTTTGGATTCACTTAACCCCGCAAGGTTTAAAACATCCTGTCCTCCCAGGGAACATCCAACTCTAGATCCATCTCCTCCAGCAGCGAAACCCTAGCCGATCCCTCAATCATCTCATCATAGGTCGGGGTTCGCTCTACAACCCTCCTGGAGAACCTCAAAGCTGCGCTCATCCTCTTAGGAGAAGCAACCTCTTCTGTCCTCCCCTCCTCAGCCTCCAGGAACACATCATCCTCCTCATCCAACACCACCACCTCCTCAGATCCATCCTCCTGCAGAGGCCCGGAGGCACTCCCTCCGAACCCACTCCTACCTCTGGATGAACCAGGAGAAGGCTGGGACGGAGAGAGACCAACCGGTTCCTCAGCATTAGACTCAGCCACACTCTCCCTTGAGTTCCTCATCCTCAACCTCTTCAGCTTCCCTGGCTTAGAGCTCTTCTTCCGCTTCACCCCAGACCTCACCTTGGGATTGGGTAGAGGAACTTCTTCTCTCCATCGAGATCGCTCCTCATATTCCCAGTCTTCTGAAAGCTTGGTCAACCGATTAACTCTCATCCTTCTCACTCTCAACTCCTCCTCGCACTTCCTCAAACCCTCAGACTCCTCTTCCAGCTACTGGAGTACTGCAAGCTTCAGCCTCTTCTCCGTGATCTCCACCACTGGAGCCTTCTTATCCATGATCCTTAGGAAACACAAGCACATGGCGTCGTACAGGCCTCCATAGAACTGCTGGAAACCTACATTCTTCTCCATCCTCTCAAAAAACTTGTGCAGATCCTGAGGGTTCATCCTGGCCCACTCCAAGAGAGACCATCTCTGGCACCTCCCTATCCTCGTGCATTTCTCCCCTATCTCCTTACTCTTCACCTTCTCCATGTCCAGTACCAACAACGGGATCCTCAAACCCTTCGGCCTCTCCAATCCTCTAAAACTCTCCACAGGTTTCAACCAAACTTGCTTCTCCAGCTCTTCAAGCTCCAGTCCAAACCTAGCATACTCCTTCTCCTCTCTCCCAGGGGGCTCCAACCTTCTTCCCTTGGACCAAGTATATCCCACCTGGGCCATGACATCCATCTGGACCAAGAACCACTCCCTCGCCTCCAGTAGATACCGACATCCTCCAGAAGTAGGAGCAGGCCATTTCCCTAAGATTTGAGTCCATAACCTGATCAACAGAGGAGAGAACTCACACAATTTCTCCCTCTCATTCCTGTACCTCAGAGAAAGAACCATCTCCTCCCTTGTCTCAGCTTCCTCCTTTGCCTTCTGGTGATACTCCACTCCCTCCAGTGACACCATCAGGAACTCAAGGAACCAGTCCACCGCCTCCTTCTGGTTGCACTTCATGTACTTACACAATATCTCAGGGTCCGGGAAAACATCTCTCAGCAACAATCCTGCCAGGATATTGTAGGTCATGAACCCAAACTGAATATCCCCTAATGCGTAACATCTCAGGGACTCCGGGATCAGCTGTCATCTCTCTCCCCACCAGTCATCTCCTGTAGACACATTCTTGTTCAGTAGGGTTCCAATCACCTGCACCCCCAGCTAGAACAGCTAGAGACGTAAGATCAATAAAACCTCTCTCTAACCTTACTTCTTCACCAGCAATCAAGGAGTAAAACTCCTCCACTCCCTGAACACCGCGTTCTTGGGATCAATCGTAGCTTTCCCAGCCATCCTCAGAGTATCAAAGTATGTTGCCTTTACATCCTCTACATCAAAGGATACAATCCGGGTTCCAAACCTTCTCTGATCCGCATCCTGCATCTTCTCAATCAATTTCCTCACCTCTAATATCTCAGAGGCTGAGGATACTCCACAGACCAACTCTCTCACCTCAATCCTGTCCAGCATCTTTAGATCCAGTCCCCTAATCCTCTGATACTTCTCCAAAACCAAGTAAATGCACTTGTAACAACAATATTGGATGTAAACCAAGTAAATGAAGTTGTAACGACAATTTGGATGAAAACCAAGTAAATGAAGTTGTAACGACAATATTGGATGTAAGCCAAGTAAATGCACTTGTAACAACAATATTGGATGTTAACCAAGTAAATGCACTTGTAACGACAATATTGGATGTAAACCAAGTAAATGCACTTGTAACAACAATATTGGATGTAAACCAAGTAAATGGAGTTGTAACGACAATATTGGATGTAAACCAAGTAAATGCACTTGTAACGACAATATTGGATGTAAACCAAGTAAATGAAGTTGTAACAACGATATTGGATATAAACCAAGTAAATGCACTTGTAACAACAATATTTAATAAAAACGAAGTAAATGCACTTGTAACAACAATATTGGAGGTAAACCAAGTAAATGCACTTGTAACAACAATATTGGATGTAAGCCAAGTAAATGAAGTTGTAACGACAATTTGGATGAAAACCAAGTAAAAGCACTTGTAACGACAATATTGGATGTAAACCAAGTAAATGAAGATGAAACGACAATATTGGATGTAAACCAAGTAAATGAAGTTTAACGACAATATTGGATGTAAACTAAGTAAATGAAGATGTAACGACACTATTGGATATAAACCAAGAAAATGAAGATGTAACAACAATATTGAATGTAAACCAAGAAAATGCACTTGTAATGACAATATTGTATATAAACCAAGTAAATGCACTTGTAACAACAATATTGGATGTTAACCAAGTAAATGCACTTGTAACAATAAAATTGTATATAAACCAAGTAAATGCACTTGTAACGACAATATTGGATGTAAACCGACTAAATGCACTTGTAACAATAATATTGGATGTAAACCGAGTAAAAGAAGTTGTAACGACAATATTGGATGTAAACCAAGTAAATGAAGTTGTAACGACAATATTGGATTTAAACCAAGAAAATGAAGCTGTAACAACAATATTGGATGTAAACCAAGTAAATGCACTTGTAACGACAATATTGGATGTAAACCAAGTAAATGAAGTTGTAACGACAATATTGGAAGTAAACCAAGTGAATGAAGTTGTAAGGACAATATTTGATGTACACCAAGTAAATGCACTTGTAACGACAATATTGGATGTAAACCAAGTAAATGAAGTTGTAAAGACGATATTGGATGTAAACCAAGTAAATGCACTTGTAACAACAATATTTAATATAAACCAAGAAAATGCACTTGTAACGACAATATTGGATGTAAACCAAGTAAATGCACTTGTAATGACAATATTGGATGTAAACCAAGTAAATGAAAATGAAACGGCAATATTTGATGTAAACCAAGTAAATGAAATTGTAACAGCAATATTGGATGTAAACTAAGTAAATGAAGATGTAACAACAATATTGGATATAAACCAAGAAAATGAAGATGTAACGACAATATTGGATGAACCAAGTAAATGCACTTGTAACAAAAATATTGGATGTTAACCAAGTAAATGCACTTGTAATGACAATATTGGATATAAACCAAGTAAATGCAATTGTAACAACAATATTGGAAGTTAACCAAGTAATTGAAGTTGTAACGACAATATTGGATGTAAACCAAGTAAATGCACTTGTAACGACAATGTTGGATGTTAACCAAGTAAATGCACTTGTAACAACAATATTGGATGTTAACCAAGTAAATGCACTTGTAAACGACAATATTGAATATAAACCAAGTAAATGCACTTGTAACAACAATATTGAATGTAAACCAAGTAAATGCACTTGTAAACGACAATATTGGATATAAACCAAGTAAATGCATTAGTAATGACAATATAAGTAAACATTCCCTTATGCTACAACCCTGGGGGGAAAAGTGGGGGTACATAAAATGCTTTACCCTTTAAAATGTTTAGAATGATGCTTTGATATAACCTGGGAATTCAAATAATCTCCTCTTCTGGCGTGAACAGCTATTTTTACTATTTTCTTGCCATGATATTTCTCCCTTAAATGTAAACAACATCAATGAAGTTCAGGGGGAAATAGTTTCAACCCATGATTTGGTCTAAATCTGACATCATGAGTTTCTGTCAAATCTAAAATCACTATCGACACACCCTTATTTAAAAAAATCAGGCAATTGTAATGTTATGAATATTTAAACATAAAATCCTGCAGAATCCTGTTCGGTTTCTTCAATTCAAATTTAACCTTGCTTTTAGGTACAATTTAACAATTTTGAAGCTAACAGAGTTTTTTTTTCAACTTTTCCATTTAAAACACATCTGGCGACATATGATATTAGAGAACAAACATAAAATTATTGTTTAATTAGACCAATTGTGACAGCTTGATGGAACAATGATTAAACTTTTAAATCACTGTGTGATAATTCTTATGTTAAACTAATACATTACAATAAACTTAATTAAGTGAAACCTTTCTCGGATCAATAATGCGGAAGATAGCGTAATTTTTCTAGCTCGAAAAGTCCTTAATTCTGACAACAACTCTATTAATTCTGAAGCAAGAAATTTGCATTGCCCAATTCACTTTAGCAGAAAACACACAATTAAAAAAACAGTTTTCAAAAACAACCCTTATACCTAATCTTCACAGTAGACTGTTCCATAGCTTCAAAAGCAGCATTCTGTATTTCAGTGTGAAACTAATACCACAATTAATTAGATAACTTTTACAGGGGTATATATTTTCAAAACTATTACCACAAATAATTAGACATCTTATACCTGGGGTAAATATATTTTCAAAACTATTACCACAAATAATTAGATAGCTTAAACAAGGGGTGTATATATTTTTCAAAACTATTACCACAAATAATTAGATAACTTTTACAGGGGTATATATTTTCAAAACTATTACCACAAATAATTAGATAACTTATACAAGGGGTATATATTTTCAAAACTATTACCACAAATAACTAGATAACTTATACAAGGGGTGTATATATTTTTCTTCAAAAATCTTTTTCCCTCCCTTATCAGAATCCTTTAGGAGAAATTTCAAGCTAATAAGGTATACATTTTGGCATGTTACTTGCTAAAGTTACTCAGTTAAATGTTTGAATAATGCCACTGAGACTAGGGCTGGGCTCGTTCCTGGTGGAATAATTGTTCTTTACGGAGCGATCAAGAACGATCCCATCATTCTGAATAAAATGAACGCTTAGAACACGTTCTTAAAAATATTGGAACAATTAGTAAAAGAAGGGAACGGAACGGAAATTGGTTAAAATCGTTGACATGTTCTTATTATCAATAACTTGTTCTAAGTTGGGAACACATTTTAAATCAAGAATGTGTTCTCTAAATTCTCTAGAAATATAGTTAAAGATTTTTTTTATTTAATCACCTGACCCCCTCCCCCCCCCCTTACCCAGTCTCTGCTACACTGACAACACACAAAATACACAGCAGGTTTCAGTTCAACTTCTGTATATCATACATATTAAGGATATTAGCACTCCCACCCCTCCCCCCGCTCTCACAAAATTATACATTGCTCAGCCCAGAAATTATCTAAGCTTATTCTTTTAACTCTAAATTTAAAATATATAATTTAAAGTATTATTTACGGCCGTGAGGAACTTTTTAATAAAAAATTGAAATTTTTTAAACTTTTAACCAACTCTTTTCTATAAAACTTTTGTCTTGGATGAAATTGTTTGTTACTAAGAATGGAACAGGGGATGGAAACGTTCTTGATTAAGAACAGAACAAGAGGGATGCAACTGTTCTTCAACTAAGAATGGCGAGAACGGAACGGAACGGGAAGACCCTTCCTCTACTCAGAATGGAATGGAACAGAACGGAACAATAAAAAACAGGAACGAGAACGGAACGATTTAGCTGAAGGCCCTCGTTCTAGAATGGGATGGAACGATTTCAAAAAAGTCTGGCCCTCTGAAGATTACTGCATCCAGGGAAAGTTAGAAATTGGCAAAAATATAACCAAGTTTTTAATCATACATAGTTATTTTAGTTTTTACATGAAAGTGATTTTTCAACTCGTCTTGAATTGTATAGAAAAGATGAAAAGGTGAAGGGTATACACCTGCAATAATAGATTAGATCATTGTCAATTCCTTTTTTAAAGGAACTGTTGTAACTTCAAGTGACCTTTCATTTCAACATGGGCAATTGGACATACCTAATTCCCAATGGTACCCTTTAATGGTAACCTTTGTTGTTCTACCTTAAAATTGTTTAATTCTGACAATTTCCTGCACAACTGTTTCTGAAGCATGATGCCAAAGTCACTTTTATAGAATACCACAATTGAAAAAAAATCCCCTTTCAATAAGAATTGATATGACAGGCTCTCTTGATTGGAAAAACCTTTTAAGGATGGCCTTAACTATGTTTAAGTATGTTTAACTAGTTTAATTTTGGTGCAGTGCACACTGCAAGAAGTAAATTTAAATTATTCCTTGTAAAGTTTTTACTTATTTTTACTCTTCTATGCTTAGGTGTTGGAGGTTCTCTTAAGGTTAACTGATAATTTTTTGTGGAATTTCTTTTAAATTTTTGTGTACAAGCTATAATTGAATTTCCAGTGATATCACTGTTGTATTACCTACATCAAGTATCTTATTAAACTGATATTTATTAATATTTTCAAGAAATGAATCATAAAAGTATTCTCCATACTCGTTCATTGATGCTATTCCTTCCACAGGTCCCTTTGCATCAACAATACCTAGGATTATTACACAGCTTAGGGACTTAAATTAATAGATTAGCAAGAGGTCACTAAACTACGTAGGGTTGTTAATAGTTTTTAAAAACGATCATTAATGCTCGTTTTTTGTTTTGTTTTTCAATCTTTTGAACTTTTAGAAAACGAATAATGATCGTTTTTGATTAGCAATCGTTTTTTAAACGATTGTTTTTAAAAAACGATTGCTTTTGAAAAACAATCGTTTTTCACAAAAAAATTGTTATTGACAACTATGTTAATGATTGTTAACGAACGGTCGTCATTAAAAAAGGGTTGTTGTTAACAAAACAACAAACTTTATAAAAACTGTCGTTTTTAAAAAAAAAATACATGCAACTTTATTGAATGTCGTCTTTCATGAAGTTAAAAAGTTGTGTGGGAGCAAAAACTTCTTGATATTTTCTTAAAAACTACTCAATGATAAGTACAGATGTCCTTCTTCGTTAAAAAAACGATGAGTTTTCAAAACGACCATTTTTAAAAATCAAAATTTTAAAAAAAAAATATTGTTTTTAAAAGGGATCGTTGCGTTTTCGATTTTTCATCGTAGTTTTCATAATGAAACGATAGTTTTTCAAAAGAAATGAAAACATTAACATCCCTAACTACAAGGTGTCCTATGAAACATGACAATTTGCAAGTTGTCTTTGATCATCAAATTTATTTGAGACATTCAGTTGTCAAGCACAAAAAAAGGCAGACCACATTTTGAAAATGCCATGACTAGGGGTATTTTACTCTAGGTTTTTAACTTCCAAAATTTGGTTTCAAATAAATGCCAAAAATTATTTAAAAGACCAAAGACGAACTTCATGTCGTCTTGCTACTGTCATGTTTCATGGGACACCCTGTACCTACAGGCACCACCAGTTTAACAAATTTTTAAGTGACAAAATCTTGAATCATGATTCATAGTTCAAGATTTTTAACAACCCTAAATTGAAGTCAACTGATGCAGACATATTTGCCGACAAAAATGGTATTCATCAATCTGTTTGCAGAAATGGAACTTGACTTTTAGTCACTAGGATAGCAATGTCCCAAGCGGCAACTTCACAAAGCTTATGTTAGGACTTCTCAGGTGCTGCAGGCTGCAATAGGGGGCCAAGCACTGTTGCTAGAACAATGAAGGGGGCCTTATTGTATTGCAGTTAGGATAGACTTGGGAATTTGATTCTTGGGAAATTGCACAGTGGCCACTAAGTTCTCATTTTTTCCAGTAATGATTTTAGCTTGTAAATACTGCCTTCCCTCCAAGTATTCTTACCAGAGGACATGTGATTTGGTTCCACTGGATTCCTTTATGCATTTATTAGATATAAATAAACATTTAAACAGAGACAATATAAAATAGAGGTTAATCCTACCTTCTTTAAAAATATATGCATCAGATTGAAAAGAATTGTCCATCATTTCTGCCTGATACTTCGTTAATATTGCTGTTAAACCATACTATCAATCAATTAATCAATTTCTTGATCTTAAAAAGGATGGCCAATTTTGTCTAAGTAACAATAGTGGAGATATAATTGGATTTCCTATCTCAGAAAGAGATAATGTCTGTCAATTTGCTTCCTTGTCTCTGCGCTTAAATCCGAAAAAAATATTAAGTTAAACTGAAATCGGAAATTATCAATTTTCACATAGAAAAGCAAGGATATATTCACATTAAGACCAGGATTTAAATGAAAGTGTTGGAAGCCCATTTCAACAATTTTAATCATCATGAGCAATGTGTGCTGGCCTCCACTTTACTACGTTCTTGAAAACTCGTTAATAAATCTGAAGTCAAGTAATCTCCGACAAATCAATGTCAAACATATAAAGTCCAGAATTATATACCCACGACATCTTTGCAATCAGCACATATAGTCCGTTAAAATGTTTCCTGGGTAAGAAAAAGTTCAACTTAAACGAATGATTAACTGTCTTCCTTAGATGCCTTAGAGAGATACTGAAAATAAATTTGTCAACTATATTCTCCTAAAATTACAATTTATAACTAGCACCTACAAAAATATACAAATGAGCAATTATCCAAATTATAACTATTAGATAAATCTTGTGTATTTGTAAGGGTGGGCAAAATGTTAAATTTCCAAAAATTTCCCAGTAATCACAGATTAAAATATTCAAATTGATTAAGAATATTGAATACATGGAACGTTTATAAACCTCTGTTTAAAGGATAAATTCAAAATTCTTATTATACAAACCTAAATATAAAAACATAAACCTTTATATTTTTATTCAGGATACTAGAACATTTACAAAAAGAAAAACGCTAAACGTTAATTTTATATACAAAACATTCAGAGTGGCCACCATAAACTTTGACACATATTTTAGTTCTTTTCCTGGTATTGGGTGCAAAGCTGAGCTTATTGTTGCTGATGTGCTTGTATGGATGGAGTTGACATTGTAAAATAATGACTTTTATCAACATAAATCAAATTTTTTTATAGTAATGGATTACTGAATTTGTGGATGTGTAAATATATTTTAATAGATTTCTGAAATCAAACATTGTTGCTTGAATACTTAATCATAATGTAAGTACTTACCAGAAGAGTAGCATACGCCATCATTACATTTCCTAATCTCCCATTGCAACCAGTCTATAAAACAATAACAGTGTACTTTTCCAACAAATTCATATAAAGGCTTTATCGATGTTATTTTAAGATTAATTTGTATTTTGAAGAAGTTTACCTTTATAAAACAGCAAATTTGTTATCATACGATGGTAGGCGATTATTTTAAGATAATAAAGACGACTTTTTATTGTTAATAAGCTTTTTTATGAATTATAACCTTATGTAATAAAAGAGAAGCTTTTTTAATTGACAGCTTCTCTTTATTTCCATGCTTTTATGTATCCATGCTGTTAAATTGATTGATATCAATCAAAATTTAAATCGAAAATCGTCTTTGTTATATTGAAATAATCGCCTACCATTTTTGCCTTATATTTTGCATGTTTTAGAAAAGAACATTTCTATAGAATAAAGTTTTAAGATGTTGGTACCTTCTCGTATTGTTATGAAACATTTTGAAAGTCTAAAACATTAAAAGTTTGTGTTAAAAGAATTTGGCTATTGCCCATTCTTATTTGTACTAATCCTCAGGCTTGCAGGGGAGGTTTTTTTGAATTTTAATTTCAAGAAAACTGAAGATTTTCATGTTTGAGCTTTTCTTTATCTTTACAGGCATTTATATCCTATACTTTCCCATTATCAAAAATAACTCTACATCTTATACAGGGTGTCCCACGAAACATGACAGTTGGTTAATAGTTTAGAATGTCTTCTTCCAAAATTTGTTATATTGTTACAATACAAAGACAATAATAAAAATATTATATAGGAGTCATTTTATACTAAAATTCTTTTCAAGGTAAAATATATTGGAGCAAAAGATTTTCTGAACAAAATAAACGGCATAAACTGCATAAAGCCTTTAATGTTTCGTGGGACACCCTGTACCACCAGTTTTTTTTGCTTTGATGCTAATAGCTTCTCAGTAGCAATTATTGGAAAGAAAACATGCAAAATATCTATCTTAATAAGCTATAATGTCTGATAAGTTAAAAATCTAGTTATTTATTCTTCATTCATTAATTTAGACCCTTTTTCAGTTTTTCAGGTCAAATAAATGTTTCACCAGTGGCGCGTTCCTTTACTTACCTATCTATGCTATTTTAAACTTTGTGCCCCCCCCCCTTTTTAAATTCCTAGCGACGGGCCTGGAGATAACCTCTATTAAAAGAGCTACATTCTTAATTCACAAAAGCACCCTCTAAATCTGTATCTGTATCTGTATCTGTATCTGTATCTGTATCTTTAACATTGTATAATATTTCTTTAGTATTCTACATGGAAAATAGAAAAATTCTGTCAATTTTCTTAATTGTCTTGAAAATTATCAATTTTAATATAGCTAAGAGAAAGAAGTAGGTAGTTGATTAGTCCAAATTATGTTGACAATCCCTGTTAGAATCAAGATAAGAACATTTTAGTTTTATAGACTCCCGGACATATTAGTTAGAAGAATGAGAGGTACAGAGATAACCAGAAAACTCTGAAATAGGAAGACGACTTTTAGACACAAGTTATGACTTTAAATAGAGCATGAGACACAGCAGTTGTGCAGTGTAAACAGACCCAGTTCACTTGATTAGTGATTTAAAAAGTGTCTGACAAAAGTGTTTGCTTTGTAGCAATGTCAAATACACTTAAGTATTGATAAAATGTTGTCTTCCTATTCCATTACTTTTTAGTTCTCACTGTGTTTTTATATTAAAAGGCTCACCTTAAGCACAGAACTGATCAAAATAAATCCATGTAAAAGTAAGTATACACTAAATTAAAAACTTAAAAGTAATTTTTCAAAAAGATAATATTTTTGACCAGAACTCATAAATAATATAAACAAAATATTTTATTAATGAAGGGTTTTCAAGGGAGCAATATACTAAAAAAAGCTGTCAGCATTATATTTTATCTTACAAAATTACTCTGAATCTATTCTTTCACAATAATTTTCATTATTTTTTTTTTACCGCTTTTTTTTACCGCCTTTAACGTCCCATGGGAAATTTAAGTAAAATTGTCATCTCCAAAGATGATAAAATTGTTTACAATTACTACAAATACTTTTTCGGGAAATTGACAATTTTACTTTATCACGGGTTCCCAAATTTCCCTGTAAAGTAGTTTTTAAATAATTACATCAGAGTGGGAACTTTTGAGTTGAATACCCTGATCTTGATATCAATAGTGAGCTCTTTTTATTTGAGAATCAATGCTTAATCTATAAATTTCAGTTCTCTATTAAATTAATCAGCAGATTTTAACAAAAGATCAAGATCAAGCATTGATCTTTATATCTTTAAAACAAGAGTTCTCAGCTCAGGACAGATTGGCAATTTTACTTTGATATAAACAAAAAATTTGAAAATTCTTTACTTTTAAAAATGAAATATCAGTACATTTATTCATAAGAGTTTGCATGAAACAATTTAAATTAAATTAAAATTTAAAAACTCAGATTTTTTTCCGGTTAGCTAAACCTGTTCATTCCGGTTAGCTAAACCCGTTTATTTCTGGTTAGCTTAGCCCGTTCATTTCCGGTTAGCTAAACCCATTCATTTCGGTTTAGCTAAACCCATTTAAAACAGTTCATTTCCGGCTAGCTAAACCCGTTTAAAACAGTTCATTTCCGGTTAGCTAAACCCGTTTAAAACAGTCCATTTCCGGTTAGCTAAACCAGGTCAAAACAGTTCATTTCCGGTTAGCTATACCTGTTCAAAACAGTTCATTTCTGGTTAGCTATACCAGTTCAAAACAGTTCATTTCCGGTTAGCTATACCTGTTCAAAACAGTTCATTTCCAGTTAGCTAAACCTGTTCAAAACAGTTCATTTCCGGTAAGCAAAAACCATTCAAAACACTCAATTTTCAGATGTCTGTTTAGTTTTCATTCTTAGCACAGAACTGAATGTTCTGACCATCCAGTTCGAGGTATTTTAAGCAGAAAAATTAACAAAAAAGCCTTTTGTCAACAATAAGAAAATTCATAATAACAGAATCTTTTGTTAATCTTCAAAAACTTGCAGTTCATTAACGGAACTTTGCCCAGCCTTACCATCACGGTATTAACTATAGCATTCAGGCCTAAATTGTACTGGAAAATAAATGAATTTATAAAAAAACATGGCATATTTCCTAGTTCTTGGTCCACAGATGAGTTGTCCAGGCGGTCCAGTACAGTACAAGGTTTTAGTGCCCAGCAAACAACCTCCAACTTGATTTACCTGAGATAAAAACTTTGTTAACCTATTCATGTTGCGCTTAGAAAGTTTTCACGAATCACAAGTTTGTTAAAAAAATATATTTTGTTTCAAAATCTTTTAGAAAATTAGTTCGTTCGTTATTATTATCGTTATTTTTCAAGTTTGAACAAACAATTTTTTTTCTTTTTTTTTATGGTACATGTTTAAAAAAGATTGTTTTTTTGTTTCCCTGTACATCCATTGTTCGTTTTTTTCTGAACAACACAATGTTCACGAAAAAGTTTTGTTTGCTCACAAAAACAAAGCTCATTTTTAGTCTTGCTGAGTCCGTTGGATTAATTTAATTTGGATTAATTTAAACCATTATGTCTTTATTTTATAGTAACTTACTAGGCATTCAAAATTATCGTGTTCTAAGATTTTTGGGCTTTTTGTGGACACTGTCACCTGCACATAATTATATATATTTTTGTAGACACTGTCAACTTCACATAAATATATATATTCAGAAATAGTAGCCAATAAGCAATAAATTGAATTGATGAGGAAAATTACAAATCTTAACCCACCTCCATTTGAAATTTCAAATTCAAAAATGTTAAAATGGCGAAAGATAAAAGAGTAAGGTATTTCTTCTCGATCATACTTCTCTGAAAATAGATTCAACAGCGATAACAAAAGATGTGCTAACCCTATTCCACTGGGGGGGGTCTAAAGTATTTCAAAGGGTTTCCCGCGACCGAAAACTTTTAAGAAAAAATACTAAATTTCGCGAAAAATTTCTTTCGTATATTTAAAATATTTTGCGAAATGTTGCATTTCTTAGCGAAAATAAATTGGCGAAAGGAAGCAAAAACGATGCGGAATTTTGGGAGAAAAAAAATATAAACGACAATTTCGAAAATTTTGAAAACTTTCGCATTAATCTGTTTCTCAAAAGAAATTTTCGCGAAATTTTCGCTGAAAACTTTAGTTTTCATACTAATCCATCGACCCTTTAATTTTACTTTTCTAGATCTTAATCTTTATAAATTAATGAATGACTAAAAATAAATAATAATGATAATGATGATAATGATAATAATAATAGATAAACAAAAGGTTGCAAAAATAGGGATACTTTGTCTTTATTAGGGACCCGGGTCCAACTTTTAAAAAAATGCATGATGCGTCCAATTTGTGCATGTATGATGTGTATAATATTGTAAAATGTATTTAGAAATCCATTTTTGACGCATTACAGAAGTCACAAAATTTTGCATAGAAAGAGAGATATATTCGCGCGTCATGCGCATTTTACTATTATTAATTAGAACGAGCCATCTACTTTTTTGTTTTTAAAACAATTGATATCATCATGTCACTCAAAACTACGTCAGTAACGAAAATTAAAAGAAAAATTCTGTCGAGAACATCAATAAAATGATATTATTCTGCGTAAAATTAACTTACGGATTTATGCTGAAGAAGTAACGAAGGAAACTGAATGAATTCATAAAAAAGAAAAAGAGGATATATTCTTTTTCTTATTGGTAAGGGCTTAAAATATCAACAGTCTCTATGTTAAATAAAACCAATTATATTACAAACATAAATGATACACACCTGCTACTAGTTATTTCTCATGAACTCGTCTAAATTCATGAAGCTTGGGACATCATTAAGATTTAAGCGTGGGAAAAAAACTCTAACTATGGATAACACAAATATTTTGCTGGATTTTTTAAGATTCTGAAAAAAAATATTTTAAATTTTTTTGTCTGATATCGATAATATCTCAAAAAATAAAATTAAATTAAAAAAGTAAAAACAAAAATGTGAGAATTTTTTATATTTTTAAACTGTTTAGTCTGAAAAGTTTTTTCATCAGAATTGACCCTGAGAGAAGATGTGCAAACACAAACCTACAAAAAAGAAAAACGAAAAAAAACCTAGTATTATTCGAAATGATCGTGGCCAGGGGTGTATACAGAAGGGAGGGGGGGATTATTTGGGATGAGCCCCTTTCCTGAAAAGATGCTTTCTAAGGAACTATATAAAGGAACACCCAACTCAGATATACGCATATTATGTACTGTGCGTCCATGGTTTCCAGAGGGTTGGGGGAGATCTTGAAAAACTGATTAAATTTGATGCTTTAAACCTTTCATCTTTCAAATATTGACTCATTTTTGAGACGAGTAATTGGTTATTTTACATTTTTATTCTCCGATCAACTGTAGACACTAAACAATAAACAGATGCTGTTCAAGGTTAATCAATTACTATATTTCAATGCAAGAAATAGTGTTTTTATCTTCAATCTGTCATCTATAAACTATTAGAATATCAATCTGGGATATTTTATTGTAATTACTTCATAATTATTGCACTTAAAATATTAATTAAAATAACATTATGAATTCTTTGATATTATTTATTTGTTTCAATTAAGGGGACTGTCAAGGTTATTAATTGTATGAATAAATTTTATAAGTAAAATCAAATTAGTCTAAAGTTGATTTCATTTTGGTTACTTGTATGTTTCACAACTAATTGATAAGAAAAAACAAGTTGAGTAATTCTTATATGCAAAAATTATTTTTCACTCAATAGTCCTAGATAATAAATTGAAAACTACGATATTGCAAAGTTATACCCTGATTGTACAACGAACTTCATCCGTTGACCCAAAACAATATCATAAATCATCAGCATAGACAAGCAAGAAAATACGATACCAAGAAAACACTAAATTTTATGTAAAGGTTGAAACGAGTTTGAAGCTCAAGATTTTCTCATATTTTTAATATTTTCATATTTAGAACAATTTCGGAACAAAGGTCAGAGGAGAGCTCCGTAATTACCATACGGGGTTGAAACCAAGAGGATTTGTTTTGAATAAAATGAATATTGTTGATGTAAACAGCAAAGGAATTGCATTCTTATCACAAACTCTGATTTTCTAATCCCAATATTTTTGCAACTAAATGTCTTAGACTTTAAATACTTCAAAATATAAATTCTGTTAAATCAAATATCTAAGTTTGAAATATAAAAAGTTAACACCATCAAGTAGTAAAGATAAAGGGATGCGAAAATTTGAGTTTTTGGCAAAGACTCAATTCCTTTAAACACATTCGTGTGTGGACGCCACACCAAACCTAACCACAATAAACTAAAAATCCATTAAACGTTAAAACAACTAAACCGATTGGACCCAATTTTGTGTGTGCAAATTTTGTCTGGAAAAAATGATCTTGTTTACGATTTTTGAAAATTCATACAAATTAAAACAGAAAAATTCGCTAAAATTTTATGAAAGTGAGTTCAACAGAATTACAGTTAAAATCAAAAATTGGTACTACAAAAGGGGTGCACATTGATAATAATAATGGGATCATATTATTATCATTATAATTATTTTCTTTTTAGGTTTTGTCAGATGATTGTATTTTGAGTGAAGAAGGAGAGAAGATTGTTGTCTGGATAGAGGACGAGTAAACCACAGAATTCATAAAATCTGAAAAAATAAACGTTTCACCTTTAAGACGCCTCCAGAAATATTGAAGTAAAACTTTAGTTTAAAATAAAGACATTTAAAACAAATTCTAGAAAGAAATATACAGGGTTATTCACAAAAGATCGGCCGTTTACTTACTCAAACATCCAGTTTTGTAGGTTTATTTTGGTGTTGTGTCTTTGAAATAGCTTTGAAACGGTTCTTGAAATAATTTAAAAATAAGAAAAGCAAGTGAAAAGCAAATTTCTTGAAATTACGTAAAATAAAAACGAAGTCTCTCACCCAAAAATTTATAACCTCTTTACTCTCTTCAATAACTCTGAAGAGAAAATTTAAGAGATTATTCTTTATTTAAAAACGGCAAAAACTCTGTTTTTAATTTATGTACATGATAAGATGATTACCTTGTTATTTAGTTATAAGCTGTTACCGATCTGCTGTGATTTTAAATTTAGATTTGTAGATAATATTATAAATAAAATTTTGTGCTTAAAATACGTTTAGTGCATTTTTAAGACATTTCTTTTTCGCTTATTTTGATTATGATCGAAACAGTTTTAAATTATTGATTTTGATCAAAATACGAGTTATACTTTTTCAGCCATCAACTTGTAAATGTTATAGGCTCTTATTATTTAAGACACTAGTTAAAATTATGTAGGATAGATATTGAAATTTATTTTATGGATTTTTATTAATTTATGTTAGAAAGACGAGAGCATATCCTTTATCCTAAAAATATCATTAATTGAGATATGAATGAAGTTGAAAATTTCATGGCATTTGAAGTAATAAGTCAGAGTAAGCTAACTTTGCGAGTTTCGTCAATATGTAAATTTTAACATGATAGTTATGATATAATTTACAACTCTCCCCCCGCCCCCCTCATTTGCTGCCATTTCCCTCCCTTCCCAATCATTGTGGACAATATCAGTAAATCTTTCTATTTTAGATTTTACAGTTTTCTGTGCAATTTACGACTACTGTAATAGGAAAAGAGAAATGAAAGAATTAGACAGAAAGAATTAGGACAACTAAATAAATTAATAAATGAATGAAAGCTGTGTTATTAAGAAGAAAGAAATAGGGAAGTATAATATAAAACAATTAATAGATAAAATAATTGCGCATTATTAAGAAAAAATAAACTAAGAAATAAATAAATACGTTAAAGAAATAAGTAGACAGGTTGAGAAGAGGTGAGAGAGAATAAACAAATAAATAAACTGTGTATTATCAAGAAGAAAAAAATGAATGAATAAATGAAGGATGCTTGATAATTGAGAAGAAAGCGGCAAAATGAATGAATTAACGATATAAATTTATTTTTGGAAGATTAAAAGAAGAAATAAATACAAAATGGATAAAGTTAAGCTGGATAAATGAATAAATAAATATATTTCTTTAACATTTATTTTTAAATTAAAGTTTTGAAAAGAGCACCCAAAAGAGATCTTCTTTTTATCTGATCGTAACATCCATATTCTGTTCCTCTCTCGTAGATCTACACATTCTATAAATCTCTTGTAGACAAGTGAAAAATGCATTTTGACACATATTTGTACTTTCTTTCTCTCTAATATTACGCATATTGCCCAGAGCTGCAGTTCTCTGTTTTTTTGCAGTTCTCTTTTTCATACTATTCTTCAATTTGATATCTTGGGCCATAAATTTCAAATTAAGTTTAATAAAAAGTTACTATTTGTGTTCCATGCAGAGGTGTCAAATATCTCTGACAAGTTATGTTGTGGATTGATGATGCAATTTTTTGATCCAGATATTGTTCTTATTTATATATTTATAAAAGTCATTGCTGCTATAAAAGCGGGGTTTGGAAATTCGGAGGATCCATTGTCAGAATTTCGCTATAGTGATGACAAATAGCTGTTTCCGACAAAAGAATTATTACTGCTTGTAAATGGAACTGACATCTTGATGCTTATACATAGAACCAGATTCAATTGAAAGAATTAACGTCTTTCTGAAGGGTTCGGATACTTAATAACAGCTAACCAGGCGTGTCATTAAGGAGTATATTTAAAGCAAAACCTGGATCCAAGTAGGTAAAAGACCTCCATTCTTCAGGGTAATACAGCGTTAAAAGATTAATGCAGGCCTTTAATGTTACTTGTAGTTCCGTTTTTTTTCTTTTCCATTTGTGTGCAGGGGTGTATACCCCCCCATATACACCTTTTCCTAAA